GCGGGAATAGTCGACTGCATGGGAATTATGGCGCGAGGAAAATTACTGTACGAGTCGTTATTATTTTTGTTTTATTTCGAAGCATGCGCATATATGTCGATCGTTGTTGAGTTTAACTGCTGCTTTTAAGTTAAATACACTGTATTTTACCATTATTTTTATAGAATTCGAATATATTTTGTGAAAATGGAATCTGATAATGATGGCAATGTTGTTTATATTGTTGATCCTAAGTATGGGAAAAGTTGAACTTATGAATTTAATGCTGATTTAGAACTGTTATTGAGCAAACTGTTCCTACATCCTGCTTTGGCAAATGGTATAACATCTAATCCAGCCAAGTTGTGCTCATGATCCATTCAACTGATTCAAGCAATGAAACTATTGAACCAGAATAATAAGAGCAACCTGTTATATAAATTTGCCCATACCAGCCTTTTAATAGATACATATTTTAGTAGACATTTTACATGTAAATATTGGTGTATTGGTGACATGAAAATGTTGCAATGAATCTTAAGTATTTACTTTATATATTGTAACTTTGAATAAAGCATTTTATTAACATCAATTATGTATGACCACTGCATTTATATGACCAATATCAGGGGTGGATCTACTGGGGTGTGTGCACCCCCCACCTAGCCCTGGCCAGAGGGTATGCAGGGGGGGGGGTATTTTCATGATAAAGCAAAAAATATTAGAGACAAAATGAGTAATTTGAGTAATAACATGATGATAAGTAAACTGTTTGTTAACAACAATTACAATACAGTAGTCAAGCAAGACTTTGCTGTAGTCAAGTAAGTTGATGGGTGGGTGGCACACCTGACTGACACAACTCGGCACCAGAGCTGGCAGAGCACCCACCCTACCACATCATACTGGATCCATCTTTAGATCAGTGATCCATTTGTGCTAAATATACAACAGTTAAAACAGTGTTAAGAACACATGCACAAGGTGCACTATAAGATAAAGTAGGGATTTGATGACTGCAGTAAACAAACACAGCAAATTGAGTTTGAAAACATTTATTTATTTGAAAAAGGAATGGTAAAGGTGATTATCAGGGAATGTTTGCTGAGGTGAATATTCCCAGATAATCACAGAGCCTGAGGCGAGTAATTGTTTTAGTATTTTTGCACAAGTTTTTTTGTATTTTTCTGGTCTGAATTCATTTTAATTTCGCTTATTTCTTTATTACTAACTTCAACAAAACAGCTAGCACATAACAGATTAATACGTCAAATTTGGCCAATCACCTTGTAGCATTTGTTATGTTCACTTGTGCAAAAATACTAATATCAAATATTTACCTGAAATAATAACAGTGTTTTAATAGGAATAAATTTATAATTATGAAAATCTCAACTAAAAATGTCTTGCTCATGTTCTACTTTAAATTTCAACTTGAGATTTTTTGATCATCTATACATGATTATCACAAGTTGCATGGTATCTTTGTTCTCACCAGGAATCAGCTACAACAAACTTCTCAGGATACAAAGTGTCCTCCACAATCCTTGTCTTAATTCTCAGGATACAATGTGTCTCCTCCACAATCCTTGTCCTTCAGAATCCTTGTCTCCATCATTCTCCTAATCAGAGCTTGAATCATTCATGTATTTAGCATCACCAGTAGCCTGTTACACACCCAACAATTGGGGCAACTGCTGAATTTCATCAATCTTGTCCATGTCTGCAACTCCACCTTCTGCACCAATACTTTCAACATCACCAGGCATCTCTTCACCATGAATTTTAACCAGACACATAGGATTTAATGGCTGTTTAATGCAATTGCATAACAATGGCTCATCTAAATTCACCAGTGGTAGGTCATTCAGTATATCCTCTAAAATATCCAGTTTGGGTGCATGGTCAGATTGTTACAGAAGTTGGTGATGGAATAATGTTAAACTCCCACAACAGAACACAACATAAGTACTACAGGTAAAAAAAGATTTGATGCATTTATACAGGGACGTTGGAACAATAAAAAGGCAAGGGCACCTTTATAATTATGTGTTGACTTGCCAATGAAAGCCTGATTGTGCATGTTCCATTGACGATAGCTGTTCTGTGTTCTGGAAATAAAGTCTACTCAAGGAACTATATATATTATATTTATTGAGAACATTACATTATATAATTAATATTATATATAATTATATATAATTAATATTATGTATAATTAATATGAACTCAAATGGCATAAGCACAAACGAGACGCGAAGTCCCATGCAAGGTGCAAACCCCGAAGCAGCGAATACGTACATAAATATAAATACACACATACATAAAATACAAATATATAAAAGCCGCTTCCCCCTATTAGTATGACCATGAACGCAACCACCTGAATGCTTCACGGATGTGTTAGCAAAATAATTTCAAACTCACAAGCATAATGAATGCTTCACGGATGTATTGCAGGCATAATAATTTCAAACTCACAAGCATAATGAATGCTTCACGGATGTGTTAGCATAATAATTTCAAACTCACAAGCATAATGTGGTTGCATTCAGTGAACACAATAAGAGGAACCGTCTATCAAAACTACTTAAGATCTGTGGCAGGGGCAGTCCCGCACCAGTGTCCAGGTGCATGGCATGTCCACGTCAAATGTTGCCGTAAGCAAGTTAGCGTAAGTGGCTTTAAGAGATCTTTTGAAGATGGAGAGGCTGGCAAAGGTGGTAGAGGGAAGAATTTTGCAGACGTGGTTCCATAACTTGACAAGCCGGTTGAAATATATGAGGATTGAAATGTTTTGGATTTACAGAAAGGAATTTTGAGTGTGAGAGAAGGATTTCGACTAAGTCGTGTTCTGCCATTGTTGACAAATGAAACGAAACTATGCACGTCAAGATCAATATGTCCATACAGTGCCTTAAAAAAGAACACTAAGTCTTTTATTTCTCTCTCGTAGCACAGGGGTAATAAGCCAAGGGTTATCAGCCGCTG